TATTAATTTTATATTTAAGTTTTTTTGATAAAACAACAAATAAATGTCAAAAAGATGATATATCAATTTAGAAAAATACAATCTTAATAAAAAAAAGAGTAATTTAATAGATATATATTAATAGTGTATGTAGCTAAGGTTTTAGTTTTATAACAACTATTTCCACAAACAATTTTGATTAATTAAATGTCTAAGGTTATTTTTAATAAAAAAAGAAATAAACATCAATCATTTATACCAATTAAGAAATTTTAAAAAAATAAAAGGAGTAATTTAATGTTAGTTAGTTAGTTAGTTAGTTAGTGTAGCTATGGTTGTGAGTTTATTATAGCATTTTGTACATATTTATTATATTTATTACTTTTACATCTAAGTTTTTTTTGATAGAAACAAATAATAAATTTCAAAAAGATGATTTATTAATTGAGAAAATATTCTATTAATAAAAAACAAGAGTAATTTAATAGATAGATATTAGTAGTGTGTGTAGCTAAGGTTTTAGTATTATAACAATTATTTCCACATACATATATACATACAGTATTGATTAATTAAATGCCTAAGATTATTTTTGATAAAAAAAGGAACAAACATCAAGCATTTAATATCAATTAATAAAATATTAAAAAAATAAAAAAGGATTAATTTAATAGATATTACTATCTAGTTAGTGCAGCTATGATTTTAAGGGCGATTATAACATTTTGTACATATTTATTATATTTATTAATTTTATATCTAAGTTTTTTTTGATAAAAAACAAATAATAAATGTCAAAAAGATGATTTATTAATTGAGAAAATATTCTATTAATAAAAACAAGAGTAATTTAATAGATATTAGTAGTGTGCATTACTAAGGTTGTAGTATTATAACAATTATTTCCACATATATACATATTCATACATACAGTATTGATTAATTAAATGCCTAAGATTATTTTTGATAAAAAAAGAAATAAACATCAAGCATATTATATCAATTAAGAAAGTAAAAAAAGGAGTAATTTAATAGATATTAGTAGCTAGTGTATCTATGGTTGTGCGTGCGATTATGTATGTATGACATTTTGCACATATTTATTATATTGATTAATTTTATGTCTAAGTTTGTTTGTTTGTTTTTGATAAAAATACAAATAAATAAATATCAAAAAGATTATATATAAATTTAGAAAAAATACTGAATAAGTTAAACTTTATCTAGACCAGAATTAGTTATTATGATATTTTTTTAAAGAATTTAATTTTTTAATAATAAAAAAAATTTTAGTATTCATCATTAATTATGGTGTGCGTGTTTATAACATTTAGCACTTATTCATTATTTTGATTAATTTTATATCTAATATGGTTTATTTATTAAAAAGCAAATAAATTTCAAAAAGATTATATATCAATTTAGAAAATAATCTGTTAATAAAAGGCAAGAGTAATTTAATAGATTTTAATTAGTAGATAGGGTTCGTAATGCAATTCTAACATTTTCCTCATAATAAAGTATTGATTAAATTTTCTACTTAGTTTATATTTGATAAAGAAACAAATAAATATTAAATAAATTGTACATTACTTAAGAAAATATTCACTTAATAAAAAACATAATTAATTTAATATTAATTACTATTAAGTGAGTGAGTTAGTGAGTCTAGCTAGCTAGCTATCGCTGTCAGATTATAACATTTTCCACTTATTAATAATATTGATTAATTTTACTTCTAAGATTATATTTGATAAAAAAAATAAACAAATATCAAAAGAATTATATATTAATTAATTAATTAATTAAGAAAATATTATCTTAATAAAAAACAAGATTAATTTAATAGATATTAGTAGTGTGTGTAGCTATCGCTGTGAGATTATAACATTTTCCATATATTTATAAAATTAATTAATTTTATTTCTAAGATTGTATTTGATAAAAAAAAATAAACAAATATCAAAAAAATTATATATTAATTAATTAATTAAGAAAATATTCTTTCTGTTAATAAAAAACAAGATTAATTTAATAGATATTAGTAGTGTGTTAGCTATCGCTGTGGGATTATAACATTTTCCACTTATTTATAATATTGATTAATTTTTTTCTTAATCAAAAATAGAAAGTAATTTAATAGATATTAAAAGTTTGTCTAGCTAGCTAGCTATCTATCGCTGGCTGTGGCGTGGGATTATAACATTTTCCACTTATAATATTGATTCATTTTATTTCTAAGATTATACTTGATAAAAAAATAAACAAATATCAAACAAATTATATATTAATTAATTCACTAAATATTCTCTTAATAAAAAATATAATTAATTTAATAGATATTAGTAGTCTGTGTAGCTATCTATGGATATGCATTTATAAAATTTCCACATATTTTTTATTTTTAAAGTTCAAATAAATCATAAAGCATAGTTTATAGATTTGATAATGCTCTCTTTGATTATATATATATAAATATTTAGCGGAATCCTAATCAAAAGTTTTTATAAATGGGTTTCTATATTTTTGACATACATAATATAAATAGAACATACATTTATTTTTTGATTGCAATTTGTGTTATTGATTTATTTATTTATTTATTAATTAATTTATTAAGTTAACTCAATTTTTGAATTTTGAAGTTTTGTTTTATTAATTTTTTATGTTGTGGTATGATTTATTTATTTATTTCTTTGTTAATTTGTTGGTTTTGAGTAATGATATTTTGTTGAGATTTGAAAAAGATGGAGTAAATAAAATTGGTGGAAATGGTGCGTTAAAATGAGGTTTTGGTTTGGCAAAATTGACTGACTACTCTGAAGACTTGATCTCTAGTTTAAAGAGTTTATTTGTTTTTGATTGCGATATTTTTGAATAGAAAATTAAATTTGGTTTATTTGTGAATAAATTTAATGAATTGAAAAATGTTTCCTTTTCGTTTGATAATTAATTTCTGACTTTTTCATTCATATTTTTGTTTAACTTTTTGGTTCTCTGTAATTAATTATATTTTGTTAAAATTTTAAAAAGTTCGAATTAATTAGATTAACACAGTGCATCAATCAAATAATCAATCAATCAATCAGCCTTAGGCTCTGGCTGGTTTAGCAAATTGCTCTCACTAATCTCACAAATTTTATTTTTAATCTCTAGTAAAAACAGTCAGTTTTTTTTCTTTAGATTGTTTGTGAGAATTTTGAATTCAAAATTTCTTTTAAAACAAGAAAATTCTATTTATTTATTGATTGATTGATTGATCAAAAAGCCTTTCATTTGAATTATTTCTTATTTAAATTGTGATTGATTGATTTATTGATTGATTGATTGTCATTATTTCTTAAGTCATTTTTTTAATTTTTAACTATTTCTTTGATTATTTATTTATTAATTTCATATTTTTTATTATTTATTTACTCCTTTCATATTTTTTCTTCATTCATTTTTTCCTTCTCATTAATATATTTTCTTAAAATTTAAAAAATTAGTAATAAATAATATTGGTCTACAGACAGACAGAAATAGATACATACATACACACACACAAGAGACAGACAGACAGACATACAGACGAAATACAGACGACGACATACAGACAGACAGGGTGCATCAGATTATTTAAGCTCAGCTTTAGCAAATTTTTGCACTAATCTCATCACAAATTTGGTACTTAAACTTAAGTAAAAACAATTAATTAATTTATTTATTTATTTGTGTTTGATTGTGATATTTTTTAAAGCAATAAATATAACTAACTCTATTTATTAACTAATTAATCTATTATCTTTTTATTTTATTTATTCTTTTTTTAAATTAATTATCTATATTTGTTTTTTTAACTTTACTTCTCAATTTCATTTTAATCTTTTTTATTATTTATTCATTTTTTTCCTATAATTTACTAATAATTTTAAAGTACTAATCAAATCGATCACTCACAAAAATTTAAAATAAAGATTAAGTTAGTAAGTAACTAAGTCAGTCAGTATCTTTAATCAAAAAAATTAGTTTACTTAAAAATATCATATTGGTGAATATCTATCTATATATATATATATATATATATCTATCTATCTACCTTTATTAAAACATCGAAATTACTTCTTTTTATCAATTATGTATTTATGTATGTGCTGTTTCTACATATTATAAAACTTTTATATTTTGTAATTATTTATAATATTACTATTATCTCTAAAGAAAACTACCAATATTCACAGTCAGTTAATGTTCAATAATTATATGTATCTATGTATGTATGTATGTATTTATGTATGACCTTTACCCTTTTTTAGCCCTTCAAAAATTTATATAGTATTTCATAGCATTTATTAAATATTCTTTTATCTCAAAACCATGCCTGTTTGTTACCAACCTTTTACGCCAGCCAAAATTCAACTCAAGCCAAGCTTAATATTTCAAAACTATCAAACCTAGAAAAACCTTCACACAAAAATTCAAATTAAAATAAATATTACAGTCAAATGCCTTTTTCATTTTCGATAGGCGAAGCTAATTAATATAAATATAAATTTACAAAATTTGCTTTTAATGCTAATTGCGGATTTTTTTTTGCAATAGATAGATAAATACAGATAGGTAGCTTACACCTAAAAAAACTGTTTTTTCTTTCTAATATAAATTTATGTGATTTTAATTTAATTTTATATAATAGTAATTTATATTTTTTATATAATTTACAATCATTTAATTAAATCAAAAAACTTTACTTTTTTATTTTTAATTAAAGAATAAGTGTAACAATAAAAAGACAAAAAGGTGTTTGCATTCTTAATAAAAGATACATAATAAATTTTAATTTTATTTAATTAGATCTTTTTTAATTAAAATAATTCAAGTTTTAAAATAAAATGTTTTAAAAATTAAATTAAAAAAAATTAAAAAACTAAAAATAAATAATTATTTTAAAATTTAAATTAATTTACAATAATAATATAAAGTAATATACACCTAAAAAGAATAATGAATAGCTAAATTAATTTGTTGATTTATTTATTGTTTCATTCTTTGAGATAAAACTTAGTTTTAATTTTAGATTTGAGATGAGTTTTTGGTTTGACTAAGTAAACTTCATCTTGATATCCAGTTTTAATGGTATCGAAGACATCATCGTCGTCTTTGTGTGAAATAGATTGTTATTTTTATTGGTATGTGAGTGATTAAGGTGTTGTGTTTTTGTTTAAACTCATGGAAAGAGATCTTTGCTCTCTTTCAAATACTCTTTATCTGGGAAGAGGGACAAATTGATTTTTTTAGCAATTACCATAAAAATCATTAAGATACTCTATCCTTTCTTGTTCTTCTATTTTCTTTTAATATTCAAAATTTTCTTTTTCAATTTTTGTTTTTAAGAATTCTTCTTTTTTTTTCTTGATGAATTAAAAGTCGTTGTATGCTTGCACTAGCTCGTGATTGTCATTTCGATCATCAAGGGTTTGCTTGTAATCTAAAATTTATATGTATTCATCCCAAGTATCTCCGTAAACGACTTGCTTATCTTGGTGTATTTTCTCTAGATTGTTCATATAATCTTTTTAACTGGAGTTCAAGTCAAAAACCTTATTTAGAAAAACAAAACAAAAAATCTTATTTTAATATAATTCAAATATATTTTTTTTATTTACAAGGTTGTCTTTGACTTTTTCATGCTAAAGATCTGATCCTTTGACTTTTAAAATCATATTTCTTCTGAAATCCCCTAAGATAACAGATGGTTAGATTAAAAAATAGAAAATAGATTTTATAATAAAAATAGAAAGGATTTGATATAAATATATATATAAATAGTTAGTGTTCTTTATTTAAAGTGTTAGTTTGTTTACTTTTTTATTAAATTTAGTCTATTTCTTTGACGACTCTAGGCGATAATGGATAGCTGCAGATGTTCTTAGATTGAGGCTTTAACTTTAAAATATTCATTTAGGCTCTGTAAGAGTTCCACTTGTGAGTAGCAACAGCTGAGGCTGAGAGCTGATTATAGAGTAGATTGTCAACCATTTCTGGATGATCTTAATAACCTTTCTCAGCTTTGTCTTTTTCCATGAAATCTTAGTATTCTCTGATGTAAAGCTCTTTTATTTTAGAGAATCTCTTGTTTTTGAATAAGTTGTATTAAGTAGGATCAACGAATATTTCATCATCGTCTACCTTCTCATAGGCGTGAGAGTAGATATCTGAAGATATTTATTTTTATTTTTTTTTTTACAATTCAAGCTATTTTTTAGTGCTTTGCTTTTATTTTTTAGCAGGAGAAGGAGAAAGTGACAGCTTTTCAGCCTTTTTATCTTCTATGATTTTCAGTATAGATTTATAGTCTTCATGCTTATCTCTATGTAAAATTTACTTTATTTTGTCTGCCAAACGATGATGTAAGTGCTGCGGAGGAGGATAATATTCTCCTTTATAATCGTAAGACAAATCTCCTTCAAATTCGTTTTCTTTCTTTTAACTTTTCTGCCCTGTCTTCGTGACATGCGAGTTTGTAGAATTTAGCCTCTTTTTCATCTTTTTCTTATCATTTGTCTCTTTAATTTACAAAATAAATTTACATCCTTTTTTAATCCATCATTATACATTGTTTGTTAAATAATAACTAATTACAGATGTTGATCCACGATCTTTCGAAGCTCGAATTAGCTTTAGTGCTAAAGTTTTAATTAAAACAATGCTAATAACTCAAATTTTCATTATACTAAGACTTCGCTGCTTATTTGTTTGGACTAGTAGAGCTTTGCTAACACATAATTTATTCCATAAATTTTATTCAAAACTACAAAAATATATTTTAAAAAAAAAGATAGTTTCTTTATTTAATTGATTGATTAATATATTGATTTATTGATTAATTGATTGATTTCTAGCCAATTACAAAAGCATGTAAATAAATAAAGAATAAATATTAAATTTAATACACATTATTAATCAGATTTTATAAATTTATTAATTTGTTTATTTATTTATTTCATTGCTTTAAAGCATCTTTTTGTGCTTTCCACATTTTTAAGCGTTCTATTATAACATTTATATTATTCTACATATCGTTTTCTTTTTCGTTATGAAGTTATACGATGACATCGCTATCATAGCTGTCATAAACTTCTTCGCTTGTTACTTCGAGGATTTCGCATTCAATATTTTCTGTAATCT